AGGCCAGCCTGGGCTACCAAGTGAGTTCCAGGAAAAGGCGCAAAGCTACACAGAGAAACCCTGTCTCAAAAAACCAAAAAAAAAAAAAAAAAAAGAACAAAGTGTCTATTGATAGAGAGACTTGTAAGTAAAAGTTCGTTACTGCTTCATCTGTAGTTGCTGAAAGCTGGAAGCAAGGGAATACTCCTCAGCAGTAAACGAAAGTGGACAACAAAAACCCTCCTGCTCCATCAGAACCAGACTATGCACAGAACGATTCTGTTGGGTGACGTTTCTAGGAAGGCAAAGCCAGGTAGACACCCCACACGTCGGTGCCCAGCGGTGGCCTGAGCTCACTCCAGCTCACTCGGCAGTGGTGGTAGCAGCTGAGGACAGACTGCCCTCGGGGATTATTTTATGGTGATGGAAAATGTTCTAGAACTGCATTGTGGTGGTTGGTTATACAAATGTTTAAATCTGCTAAGACCATTGGATTGGATAGGTTTTATGGTATGCAAACGAAACCTCAAAAATTGATTTAGAAAAAAAAAAATCAGTCAGTCTCAGACTCTGGATGTTTGAATTTGGGGGAAAAACAAAACAAAAACAAAAACCTCTCCCCTCCAGACCCGACCTCCCACGGACGCCAGCTTCAACTTCGATGCCAACAAACAACAGAGACAGCTCATTTTAGAACTGGAAAACAAGAACAGGTGAGAATGTGCTCTCCCACCTGAGTCCCATGGCCAGTGTCCCCTTCTGTGGGGTCCTCATGACCCCACAGACTACGCGGCTTCTTCGCTTGCTCTTTTTGCTTCTGTAAAAAACGGCCCCTTGTAACCGAGGCTGACCTCGAACTCACTGTGTAACTGCAAGCAGACTTTGCTGTCTGGAGGCTCCTGTCCACCCCTCTCCTACCCCTCAAGTGCTAGGATTGTGGGTGGCTCACCACACCCAGCTCTGTACGGCTCCTCAGTGGACAGGAGTAGCCCAGGACTGGGAGACACTGCATGCTGTCCGTTCACGTTGTCCTGTTACCTCTAGAGAGGCTCTGTCTGAGGACTCGTCCCACCCACCAGTGTGTCCCCAGGAGCATTTTGCTCTGTCTTCACAGCCCTTCATGGCCTATTCCACCACATGTATCCAGTCTCGTTTTCTCATAAAAGGCCATTTTAAATGTTGCTAAAAGGCCCAGGGAACCACACATTACACCACTAGGCAGTGAGAGGTAGACACCGGGACATGGGGACTGACCCTGGCTAGCAAGCACTGGGGGGAGATGGTAGCGGCCTCCAGTCAGGAGGCAGGAATCAAGCGAAGGGAGAGCATGGAGAGAGAGTTGGGAAGTCCACGTACGACCCATGTTGGGAGGCTGCGAAGAGTTCTGTCCCTGAAGTGGAGCAGGGTGAATACAACGTCCCAGTTATCGTTTCCCCTTCCTGGAGAGGGTTGAGGTCTTGAGAAGAGCGTAATCTGTGGGGAGAGCACCCGAGGAGCTGGCGGGGGGGAGACTGTTGAGAAGGTATCCCCTGCCTCAGAGCGGAGGGGAGAGGAGGCACCACGGGGGTAGAGCCGTGGGGAAGGAGACGTCAGACACTAACAGTGTCTCCCGGCATCCCCAGAGAGATCCTGCAGGAGATCCAGCGCCTGCGGCTGGAGCACGAGCAGGCTTCCCAGCCCACTCCCGAGAAGGCCCAGCAGAACCCCACGCTGCTGGCGGAGCTGCGCCTGCTGAGGTAGGCACACATGCCCCTGCTCCCAAACTGCAGCCTGGGGGGGGGGGGTTCCGTACGGGGAAGCCAGCCCAGACGGCATGAGAGTTCCGTCCACCACGCTGGAGAACGTGGTATGAGGATGACCAGACCTGTAACGAGGCATCTTCCTCTCTGCCGCAGAAGCATGTGGGTTTCCCTTAAGTGGAGACATGGAAACCGCCATATGGAAACCAAATCCGATGTCTTAGTTCTTTCTTACCAGAGCTCCAGATTCTTGAATAGTGTGCCTTGCTGTTTGTGTTGTAGCGTTTAGAATTCTACATTTGATACTTAGTTTTGGGGGGAGGGGGACGGGGAGATAAGATCTCATTCTGTAGCCCAGGCTGGCCTGGAACTTTTAGTGTTATGTAGTATAGGCTGGCTTTGAACTTGTGGTGATCTTCCTTCTTCAGCCTCCCAGGGCTAGGATTACAGGCCTGCACCACCATGGCCTCCTCATACTTCCTCATGAATGTGCTAGCATCTGGGATACACATAGCTGAATAGCGGAGTTTTTCAGGTGCTTTCTTTAGATCCTTAACCATGATTTTGGTTAGGTAGGGATCAATGATTATTGGTTCTCTACTTGTTTCCTGTCATTTAGATTTTTATCATCAATAACCGAGTGTCCTTTCCCCCAAAGCTTCATTTCAGGCTGGACATGTCGGTCAGTGCACACCTTTAAACCCAGCCCTTGAGGCAGAGGCAGGAGGATCTCTATGAGTTCAAGGTCAGCCTGGTGTACGTAAGTTCCAGGCCAGCCATGGATGCATAGTGAGACCCTATCTCAGGGGGAGGGGGGGGGAAGCTTCATTTCAGTCTGTGATTTAGTTAGGCTGGTTTTTTGTTTTGTTTCGTGGCCCCCTTGTTCACTGCCACACATTTGGGATGGTCACGTGGTAAGTGCTTTACTAAGGAAGACTGAGGAAGCAGGTGCTGACTCAGCAGAGGGTCAGAAGAGTCTTCCATCAGCTTAGGACACACTTGCTTCACTTCCTTCGCTCAGCTCAGGTACAGGTGACTGTTTTTATCTCTAGAAAAGCAGAAACCGTCGTTCTGGTATCTGTTGCCAGAACCGTAGTTACCGGAAGTGTTTGGTGACAATATAAGGACCTGAAAAGCATTGCGGATTCAGTCAGCTGAAGCTGGTTCCGGGGACACCACACAAAGCAGCAAGAAGCAGAGTTTAAGTCCGAGGGGGATCTGTGGCTTGAGAAGTCGGGAGTCCAACTCAGAAACAGCTTCGGTAGCATGAGGCAAGGAGGCACGTTAGACCACTGAGCTAGGCCAGTTGCCTGTACACGTGCGCACACACAGTACAAAGCCAGTCGCAGATGAATTAAACAGAAAGACAGGACTTGAAAACTTCTGAGAGAAAACACAGAGGAATTTCTTTAGGGTTTTGGAATGGAAAATGATTGGTCAGAATTACATACAATGGAAAGAAACTGGTAAAGCCATCTACATAGATAATAAGACCAGCGGGGCTAAGGATGTAGCTCAGTTGGCAAAGTGCTTGCCTGGCATACACAAAGTCCTGGGTTCAGTCCCGGCACAGCGTAAACCAGGCACGGTAGTGCATGCCTGTAACCCCAGCACTTGGGAGGTAGAGGCAGGAGGATCGTAAGTTCGGGGTCACCCTCAGCTGCATAGAGTTTAAGGTCAGCATGAGATGAAGGAGACGTGTCTCCAACAAAACAAGGCGGGATTCACCTGTAGGTATTTCGTGCCGTTTTGGTTTTGACCTGTCTGTATGGGTTCAGGACCTGCCAATCACAAGTCTCTGTTTCCTCCACCTCCCGGGCAGGCAAAGGAAAGATGAGCTGGAGCAGAGGATGTCAGCGCTGCAGGAGAGTAGGCGGGAGCTGATGGTGCAGCTGGAGGGCCTGATGAAGCTGCTGAAGGTAAGAACCCGTGTGCTCTCCGCCCACCGCATCTCTCACCTAACAACATGGGGCCGCGGAGAAACAGTTTTCAGGTAAACTTGCGTAAGTGGAGCCTAATCGGGTATCAGTCACTGATATCCGCATAGAGCCTCCAAGATGCCTTAGCAGGTAAAGGTGCTCACTGCCAAGCCTGACCGTTTAAGTTCAAACCCCAGGACCCACAGGGTGGAAGGAGAGAACTGACTCCTGCAAAGTGACTCCCTGACTTCCATACACACACACACACACTCACACACACACACACACACACACTCACACACACATACACACACACATACACATACACACACACACTCACACACACACACACTAAATAAATAAAATAATAGTTTTGGAAAGAGTAATGTTCTTAAGTAATTGCTTTGGCTCAGTGGTTAAGAGCACTGACTGCTCTTCCAGGAGACTCACATTCTATTCCCAGCACCCACATGCAGCTTACAACTGTTTGAAACTCCAGTTCCAGGGGATCCAACACCCTCTTCTGGCTTTCACGAGCACTAGGCTCACAAGTGGTGCAAATACATAAATGCGAAGAAAACACTCATACACACAGAAATATAATAATTGCAAACAAGGACCTTTGTCAGTCAGACATTAACTATGTATAAATGAAAAGTATTTCTTTTTTTTTTTTTTTTTTTTTTTC